ACTTTGTCGTGCCAAGGCCTCTGGCCCCTCAGTCGTGCCAAGGCTCTTGGATACGATGTGGAAGATGTCTGTTCTAAATGCGGTACTGTCGGTGGCACGATCAATCTCCGCTTATGGTATTACTCTGCTTGTGAGTCTGAACGTTCTGGGCTCATCAAGCCTGAGCTTTTGAACCGCGTTCGCAGCGAGCTCGACGCTGGCACCACTCTTGGGTTCAAGGTCCTCTGCGAAACGGGCTTGTTCCCCCACCCGTCCCCTGAGGCCCTCTCCCCCACTCTGCCCAGGAATCGTAGGATTCGGTTGTGTTCGACATGTTTCCTGGAGCGTCGAGGCCGCCAGACTTCCAGTCCCCCTGAAGGCGTCAGGGAGATTCGGGGTAAAACCTCCATGGATGGCTCTTGTTTCGAACACCCAGGGCGAGAACTTTCTAGGTCTGGATGGGGCGCTGTGCGGCTGAACCGTCCGGGCCAGATCTCAGTGCGCATGTACGGTATCGTGTGCAAAGTATATCCTCAAATGAATGTGGTTGCTGAATTCGTCGCGCCTGTTGCCACTTCCTGCATTCTTAAAGACACGGCTGAGCTTCTTTCTGACTGCAAGGTAGTCGTCGATAAGATCGCTTTGCCTCTCGCCCAGAAATGATCTCCGAGCAGACCGTACGGCGGTCTTGTGAAGCAGTGTTTGGCGAATGCGAATGGTCGGCTTGATGGGGTCTGCATAGTGTAGGCCCATCTCGAAGGAAATCCCAACTTGGAGTGGGAGGGGCGGCTAACAATTCGTGGCAACAGTTTGCTGACGAAGCGGCCAAGGTTGGTGCGAACCTTCATCAGCCCCTATCGCCCAGCATGCTTTAAGATTTTCCAATCAGTGCTTGCACTTAAGGGGTCCTAGCGGAGGTCAAAGGATTTGGCGAAAATTTCCCGCCGATTTTGGTCGCACGCTGGGTTCCCGGGTTCCCAGTTCCGGGTTCCAGGGGTTCCGGTTCCCAGGCCGATTTCGGTGGGCGGCGAGGTTCCTCTTGGTCGATCTTCTTATCGATCGGTCTCGGAATCGATATCATTTCCCACCTCTCTATCGATCTCACCATCGATCTCACAACCGATCTCACATTCGATCTCACAAGCGATCTCACTAGAGAGCGCGCGAGCGATCTCGCGATCGATCTCCCTATCGATCGCAGTATCGATCTCACAATCGATCTCAAGATCCATATGACTAATTTTCAAATCATCCATTGATTGGGATTTTCTCAGGTGTAATGTTTTGTTGTTAGTCTCGCGTTCCACGGCTGTTGCCACTCTTGCTGCCCACCTGCTGGATCTCTCGCCCAGGACCAACCTGGAAGGACTGTCTTGGTAGCGTCCGTCGCTGTCTGGGCCTCCTGGGCACTCCTGGAGCTGGGTTGACAAGTTCTGGCAGTACATCGAGTGCTTGAAGAGCTCTCGTTTTGTTTTAAAGCCTCCACCAGGGAGGTGTGCCCGCAGGCTCAAAGTAGATCCACAGAGACTGCGTGATCCTGGGCACTGGGGCATCGTTGCGGACTGCAGCGATGGAAGTTTCATTTGCTTCTGCCAGCTGTGTTCCTTCTACACGTCTGGAGGTCAGTTGCGTGGTTTGGGGGACCCTTGTCAGGCCCGACCCTCCTCCCGTGCGCCCGCGCAGGTAGAAGGAGGACCCGCAGACAAGAGTTGGTCTTCTCACAACGCTCGCAGAAGTGCATTGTGGTCCAAACTCCGCAAAGGACGCCTCCCGAAGATGAAAGGGGTCACCGATGATTGGGACGGCATCGGAGTCCTCTAACTTCCGATGCATGCTGCCCGCTCTGACGGGTCTTTGCCAGCGGACGTCCAAAACATCTTCCTCCTCCTCCTCTTCCTCCTCCTTGTCCTCCTCATCTTCTTCTTCCTCCTCATATTCCTCCTCCTCATCTTCCTCCTGCTCCTCCTCCTCCTCCCTGGGGCTTAGGAGGCTGTCTGATTGCATTGGAGTTTTTCAATCCCGGTGTTGTTCCTAGAGTTCGGCCCTCTGGGGTCTGCTTTTGGAGCCCCCGGGTCAGGAAACATAGATCCAGAGGGACAAGCCAGCCCTTGGGAAGGGGTCGGGGCCTCCTTGGGGCTGCACGCTGAAAAGAAATATCAGATTGTCGGATGTCTGCGCCTACGGAGCATCCGGGGCCGCCATGCAGTGGGCGTGTCCTGAGGGCAATGGGACTTCCACCAGGGGCCACGACGGACGAAGGGACGACACGACAGGGGAGGGCGCGGGGAAGGGGGGAGGGAGAAGGGGGTGTGAGCAGGGAACATCAAAGCAGAGGACTGTCGAAGAACACGTCCTAAAGAGCATCGAGGAAACCCCGCCGACTCGAGCCTCGACTCCCCAGGACATCGGTGGCCTCCACTGGCCCTGGGACCGTCAGAGATCGACTCGGGAGCTGGCCACGGGAGAAGGCCCCGGTGCCCAGCACCCGCTTCCCTCAGATCCCGACTTCTTCACGGCACCCCACGCTGCGTGATAGAATCGAAAGCGAAAGCACGGCATAAAAATAAAAATGAATGTTCGCCGTTCCGCGCGGACTTCTTGGATCTGCGCTGGGCCCCCTGGCGGCGCCTCCGGCGCCGCCGTTGGTGCGCTCCGCGCGCCAGTGAGGGGGGTCAGCGCAGGTCCCAAGAATTCCGCGCGGAGCGCCGAACTGTTATGTTTATGCAGTTTTTTGCTGTAAAGGGGACGGGTGCCACAACTCTCCCAGGCGGGCAGTTTTGGACCCCCACCCAGACCAGGGGCCATGAACGGGCGGCCTCTTGCCCAGACTCCCCCTGGGAACCTTCCGAGACAACTCAAGCCAGACCCCCCTCTCAAAACAGGCTCCTCCTTCTTACAGTCAGCCCGCATAGTCAGGATGGACAATTTCCCCAAGGGTGCCTTGCATCCTAGCCCCCTTCGGCCCATCCTTAGCGACTTTCGCTGGCCAACCTCGTTCGAAGAACGTTCACATGGCCCTCCAAGTCCTTGCATCCTTCCCGCGCATCCTTATGAGACGGGTCGACCGTATTACGAAATCCGCAGTAAATCTCCGCCGTCGACGGGGGCGACGACGCCGGCCGCCGCTCGGCGGCGGCGCCTTCGACAGCCTGGGCCCCAGGCCATGCCGCTGCGCGCCGTCCGCCGCCATCCGCCGACGATCGAGCTTCGGGGACACTGGCTGTTGGGTGTGCTCGGCGGATTTTTGATGAGCGAGGAGGAGGAGGAGGAGGAGGAGGAGGAGGAGGAGGAGGAGGAGGAGGAGGAGGCAGGAGGAGGAGGAAGGAAGGGGGAGCGTGGGAGGAGGGGAAAAGGGTGGAAGAGCGGGAGGAGCAGGAGGGGGAGGGCGGAGAAGGACGAGGGAGGGGGAGGCAGGGATCCGCGAGGAGGGGGGGGGAGGTGGAGGCGCGGGAGGAGGTGGGCTCCTGGAGGCTCCTCGTGGCGACGGTTTTGGGCCCCTCGCAGCTTTGGCCAGACCACCCACACACCCCACACACACACGGGCGATCGCAAACATGGATCAAGGGGGCGTGGATTAGCGACGTGTCCCGTTTCCAGGGGACATCGCTGGTTTCCGCCGCCGAGCGAGGCGGCACCGGCCGCATCTTGGGGGAGGAGGGCACCTCCCCCGATCCATGGGTTTGGCGACCGCGCGCCAAATCCATGGATCGCTGATCTTATGGTTTTGTGCTAACATATGTGCGAAGCGATAATTTTCTGAATATTGTGGAAGTGGGTTTGACTGGCATGGCACCTTTATCATTATGAGGTGATGCTGATCTACATATTATTGTTGACCACTGCGGCTGCATGCCAATGCGAAATATCCCGGCACAGACACGAGAGTAGGGACTTCAGACCAACGCGTTGCAGACGTGCCCCGACGGGCAGTTTTGTTCTACGGCTTACGTGGGAGGCCGCTGCCCGACCTCGTCGCCGTCAGCAACCGACTCGGGATGAAAAGCAGGGCTGGACCTAAACGGTGTTGTTGGTGATTTCGTGGGCCGTTTTCGTCTCGCTTTCGTTTTGCGGCAAAGGAGGCTTCGAGGCAAAAGCGAGGGAAAACTAAGACAAAACGAAAACGAAAAACACCGTTTAGGTTCAGCCCTGAGGAGAAGCATTGCACTCGGAAGGATTCGAGATACGTCTCCTCTCGCATGCAACAAAAAAACGGCGTCAAAGAGGGACACAAATGTTTGGGGAGCATGCTTCCCCTTGTTGGGCCTCCAGGGGTCCACGGCTAGATCCCCTTCCGAACCTTTGTCAGAACCTACCCTTAGGGTGGTCCGTGGGACGATTGTGAGGAGGAGAAGAAGAGGAACCAGACAGGCTTCCACACATCGCAACAACTCGACGGGCGCTATTTTGCATGATCTCGGCATTCAGGGGCAGTTGTCGAGTCCAAGGACTGCCAGAAAACAATCCACGACGAGAAGTTCCTCCCGGAGAAAGGGGTCGAGGTCTCTATAGGGAGGCTGCGCCGAAATCTCCAGGAGTCCACCTCCTCCCCTGTCCCGGCTCGCGTCCCCCCGTGCTCCTTCCCTTGGCGTCTCGCTGCAGCCCAGGCTGCCGACGGGGGGACCCCTTTCGGCCCAGGGAGGGGCTCCGGTGTTCGGGCCGTGACTTCCAATCCGCGTCGGGGGACTCCTTCGTGGCCGAGGCCAGCCGTGGTCAGGGAAGCCCCTTCGTTCCTCACTGGGCTTATGATGTTCCAACCTACTGTAGCCTTGATCGCCAGAAAGAATTTCGAGCGCCAAGAAAGTACCGAAACTCGAGGGTTTTCACGTGTCGGGCCCTGGGAGACACTCGTTGGACATTGTTTCGACACTGCTTCGACACTCTTTCGACACTTTTCCGGGTGCTCGAAATTATGTTTGGGATGTGGTCTTTAAGTACGAGGGGAGCAACATAACACTTGGCTTTCCTTCTGGTGGCACGATAGCTGTCCGGTCTGTTCCTCGTCTCCTGCCTGGCAGCCTCAGGTGGTGCAGCTGCCGACCCCGGGCGGTGCCGCGAAGAACGAGCTCCAGGAGACAGCGGCCGCGTCGCGTTATGTTCTGTCCCGGCGTGGTTAACAACAGCACGAAGATCGATCGAGGACGCATTCATGCGGCAAGTCACCGTCGCACCCAGCATTGTGGACACGTTGGTGTTGTTAGAGATGCACTTGGGGCAAACCCGTAGAGCAGCATGCGAGGGAAGATATTGTCATAGTTGCGTATATCTAGATGCATGCGCACAAACCTGCACATTGGCAAAAAGTGCTCGCGGGCACACATACGGTTATCCTTTCGTTTTCCCGGAGTCTCCGTCGCAACGACGGCGAGGCAGAGTTGGCAAAGCGGCTGCGTGCACACGCACGCACGCATTCACACGCACATGCAGGTGAGAACGCATGCACAATGTAAACGGTATCCAGGTGCATGTGGCAAACCTTATCAATGTTTCTGCCGAAATATCATTGGTTTGGGTACCCCAGTGTGTCTGGCTGAGGTTCCATACCTTTCCTGGTGTAGCCCACCAAGTTTACATCGGTTCAGCTGAACGCACATCCAAAGAGAACCACCACGAGGGCAAAATCAAGCTCATAGGGACTCCGTGATGGTAGATCTGTTTCATACGGTAGGTTCGCGCCAATAGATGCGGCGACCCAAGCGCGGCCTTCGGGCGTTCGAGCTTCAGCGTTGCGAATGGCCCAGAATCGCTCGACATTGGATTTCGAACGATCTGCGCTATCGGAAGGCTGCGAGAGTTTAATGTTGAACGTTACACGCGGTGTCCGAAACCAACCCCGACGTCGATGCGACGCGAACCCAGCGTACTAGAATCAGCCCCGCGGCGGCCGGTAGCGTGCCGAGTGCAACATGGAAGCATTGGGGACGCGGCAGTCTGTGGGGGCGACCGCCTTGCGTGGTGACGTGTTCCTGCGCAGCATCCATGGGGCTGACCCGCACTTTTCCCTCCTCCGCATACCAAGGCGCGCTTGCTGCCGCATGAATTCCACCAGGCATTGCTGGCGGTGGACTGCGCAAGGCAAGCCAGCATGCAGAAAACAACACCCAACTTGTCCTGACGTACGCAGGCCGCACCCCCCCCAACACACATAACCACACACACACACACATTTGCGTCGCGGCCCTGCGCGCGGCGACGGGGCGTAGACGGTTGGAAGACAGCAAATCGCACGCGCGCGTCCAGGCCTGCCCACTCAGAGACCAACACACACACACACACACACACACACATCCGTAGCCATTTGGCTCAAGCCATTTTGGCTCAAGCCAGGCTTGCCAAGATGTCGCTGCGCAATTCATCTTTGCTCGGCATGGTCCCCCTCGTGTCCCCGCGATGCTGCCTGTGGGCTGCTGATGTGGCGCTATCCTTCTGCCTCTGCATCGCGGCTGGCTTCTCTTCGATCCCATATCGTCTTTTAATCATTGGTTTGCAACTTACGATTCATTCGTGTGCGGTGGCGGCTGCTGGACGGGAGTTTACTTCAACATGTGCTGCGATTATGTTTCTTCATGGTCTTATTCCTGCTCCCATCTTTCGCCTGGCTATGATGGTCAACTCGGCTGCTGGTGCCGCGAAACATTCACAGTGGTTCTGCTTTTTCCCATCGTTTTGCCGGCGCCGCAGGCGGCAGAGAGGTGGGTATGGTAAGTCGGTGGTGGACGTACCATCTTCTGAGCGCTCGGGGCCTGGGCCCTGCATTATTAGCATATTCGACGCCCTTTCTTGTGGGCAGGGTTTGCCACCAGCGGTATCCAAATTCAACCCTTTGGTCACTGAATTCGTCCCTCAGGATGCTTGCAACGCTAATGGCAACAATTCGTTCTTGTCTTGTACTGGTGATTGTGGCAAGATTGTGGCTCCTCGTTATAAGTTTGCACGCCCTTGTCGTGTTTTGGCTGAGCCTGGCCCAGGCCCCTGCGGCAGTTCGGCGGGCAGGGGGCACTCCCATCTCATTACTGGGGACTCTTCTGTGCAACAGCTGATCGACGCTCAGAACAACACGATTGCTTTGTTGATCCAGGAGCTGGAGCAGCTGAGGACGGTGGCCCTTCCTAATATCTCTTTTTCGGTGCTGCAGGCCTACGTGGATGACAAAACTGCTGCAGTGTCGGCGCAGGTCACCCAGCTGCAAGCTGAACTCGCCAGAGCGGTCGAGGCTTCGCTCAGCCGTCGGCTGCCGCCTAAGCTCGAGGAAATGAAGTCACACATTCTGGACGCTGCCAGCCTATCTTTGCAGTCTCCTTTGGACACTCTGAAGCAGGAGCTGTGCGACAGTTTCACGACTCATCAGCGATCTCTGGGCGACCAATGTCTGTCTGCTGTGAGTGCCGCTTCTGCGAAGATTCTAGACACACTGGAGAGGAAGGTCCAGGCTCTTGAGACCAAATTTGGGAATGTGGCGCCTCAAGTTCCCTGGAGTGACCGGGTCAAGGGCGATGGCCCCGTGTCCCTTCCCGAGTGCCAGGGCGACCATTTCCAGGTGGGTGACTTGGTGCGCCCGCACAGCCTCGCTACGTCGGCTCTGAATGGGCTGGTGGGCTGCGTCCGTGGCTTCGTCGGAGAGAGGGTTCAGGTGGAGTTCTTAGGTATCGACGGCTGCAAGCTGATTAAACCAGCCTTCCTGGTCGCAGATTCGGCGGAGGAGCCGAGGACATGCGAGAACCCATGCGGCCAGGGAGGCTCGACATCTTCTTTGTCGTCTTCGACGGCTTCCTCTTCTACGACTTCTGAGCTGGCTGCTGCCGTGCTCCGACCCCGCTAAGATGAACAGACCCATGGTGTACGAGTGACACACACACACATATATATACACACATATACATACGTATATACATACATACATACAAACATCCATACCTACATACTTACATACCTACATACCTACATACATACATACATACCTACATGCATACCTACCTACCTACCTACCTACCTACCTACCTACCTACCTACATACATACATACATACATACACACATTTGGCGTCGCGCTCCTCCGCGCGGCGACAGGGCGGAGAAAGTCGTAGAGCAGCAATCGCGCGCGCGACTAGGAGCGCTCGAGGTCCCGCAGCAGCTGGCCGCCATAAGTCATCAGAGCGCGGATGACGGGGGGAGCGGTGAAAGGACGAATTTACGGTGTGGTGGAGATGCCATAAGCCATTCTGGATTGGATGGCGGGGGGAGACGCGCACACACACACACACACACACACACACACACACACACACACACACACACACACACATATATATATATATATATATATATATGGCGTCGCAACCTCTCGCTCAGCGACGGGGCGGAGAAGGTCGAAAACAGCAAAGAGCGCTCGCGTCTAACGCACACACGCACACACACACACACACACACACACACACACACACACGTGCGCGCGCACCTAGTCTCACAAATGGCTGCGCACAACGCGCACAGCGAAGTACCCATCAGACCAAGTGATTGACGAGGGTCGCGTGCGCGTGTGTAGCGCAGCGCATTTGAGGCCATCAGGGGCCATCTGAGTCCAACCGCCGTTCATCCCGGCCTCTCCGCTGACCGTTGTCCAGATGGCGACACCAGATCAGCGAGAGGAATGGGCGACTTTGCAGGCATCTGCTCCGCAGAGAGGGAAGGGGAAACCGTCACCAGAGGAGATCGAAGCGGCCAGGACGCACAGCCACGCGTGCAAGGCATTTCTGAGCGGCCTGTCGCCCGAGGCGGTCCAGGAACTGACGGGGAAGAAGAAAAAGCCCGCGGACGAGGCAACGCTCCAGCTCAGCGCCACGGGTGCACACGCTGGCAGCGCGGAGAACGCGACAGGTCAGCACTTCGATTATTTCCTCGTGGTGGACTTCGAGGCAACCTGCAACGCGGAGCAGAGGGGCGAAGGGGCCCTCACCCCGCAGGAGATCATCGAGTTCCCCGTGGCCCTCCTCAACTCCGCCACCCTTGAGGTCGAAAGCGTGTTTCACTGCTTCGTGAAGCCCGTGGTCCACCCGAGACTGACGGACTTTTGCACCGAGCTGACGGGCGTCACCCAGGAGCAGGTCAGACATGGGACATGTCGACCCCTATCCCAGGCTTTGGGAGGTTTTCGAATGGACCAGGAATTTGGGGCCCAACCCAGGAATATACGATGGGTGCGCGTCCATCCTCGATAGGGATGCGTCCGAATAGCCCCCTTGGGGTGTATCCCACGGCTTCCATTTTTCTGAACGGCCAGATTTTTCAAGCGGAACTCGAGGATTGGGAGAGAAAAATCGCTTGCGAAGGTCGATGCCGGTCTGGATTTGGGCGATGCACTCGATCAGCTGGACCGTTGGATGGAGCACCATTGCTTGCACGTCGTCGCCGTCCCCGCGGAGCGGCGGCGCAGTTTCCTCTTCGTGTCCTGCGGCGACTGGGACCTGAACCACCTCAGGAGCCAGTGCAAGAAGCAGCAGCTCGCGGCGCCGCAGTGGAGCCGCAGGGTCTGCAATCTGAAGTACATTCGGGGAGACGTAAGACTCGAGTACTCCGGAACTCGGGCTTGCCGACGCTTGTTCACGAGCGAGTCCTCGATTTTGACGGTCCAAATTTCGTGGGATGTTTGCAGCGGGAGCCCGCGTCAAATTTCAGGCGGGGTCTCGTCAGTTTCATGATGGCCCCGTCAGGCCAGCCCGGGTCCCCCGAAGCCGAGTCTTATGTCTCCCCGATACATGTACGAGAGGGTATTCGGCACGAGGCAGGTCGGCATGATGGGGATGCTGCAGGGCCTGTGCATCACGCACACCGGCAAGCACCACAGCGGGATCGACGACGTGCGCAACATCACCGCGATCCTCCAGAAGCTGATCGAGGAGCACGGGGTCACCATCGGGCCCACACCTGGCTCGCAGGCGGTGCACGCCTTCCTGGGGCCCAGCAGCGCGGCTCTCGGCCTGGTCCCGCGCGTCGTTGCCACGTCCGCATGCCCAGCGCGCCCTGTGCTCGCCAGCGCGCCTTCGGCGCAGGAGAACAGGAGAGCGTCGCCGAAGCAGGGTCTGTGCGCATAGATCTCGGCAGTTCGGGCGTCGGCCCTGAGACATCCGCATATCTTGGCATCGCTCGGGCGTGTGCATTTTTTCTCGGCGGAGGGCCCTCGAGGAGCATCTCGGGTCATCTTGCAAAGCAACACAAAAATACGCACAAAACCGAAACATGCACGGGGAATGAACGTCGGAGCGATGGCGAGAATTGCACCGCTGGTTCCTGCACGTATCCCGCTAGATGGCCAGGTACGGGTCGTTTGATCGGTGAGGCCGCTCCCTGCCAGTACGCGACGGCCTCTGAGGACATCCCCGACCGACCTGTTGCTATCGGCAGCGCATCTCCACCGCTGCCACAGACGTGTTTAACCGCAGGTCTTCCGCCGCCGCCGCTGGGCCTCGAGTGAGCGCACTCGGAGTGCTTGCTTCGGCTGGCAGAGGCTGGCCATGCCCCCGTTCGCTCTCCTCTGCACTTTTTGCTCCGAATCCTGCGGTTGCTGCAACAAAGTTCTCGCGGTAGCAACGGCAAATTAGAGGTCGTAGCCCAGTAGTTTCGGCGGCCCTTGCACAGTCTGGGCGGCCGGCACACTTATCCTTGCTGACGTCGGACAGATCACAGGATTGGCGCACGACCGAAAAAGTATGTGTCGGGGAGACAGGTCGCAATAATGATTAGGTTAGCGATGATTGCAACTTTTATTATTAGACATCAACAAAGTTGCCGCAGACCTATACAGCTTGAACGGAAGCAGACATCTAAGCAATTGCTGCGATACTCCTCGGAGTCCGACGAGTGTGTTGGTGAAAGCAGCTCTTCCACCTCTCGCCCTTGTTCATGGCCATGAGATCAGAATGCGCCCACAAGCTATTGCATACACACCTGTCTCCACACACCTGGAATTCATCTTGAACAGCTGTGCGACCACCGCTGACCCTTGTTCCCCTATTTCATGTGGTGGGGGCTCATGTTTTTGCTGATGACACTCCTCCTTGCTCTCTTTCTAGCTGTGTGTCTGTGTTGGTGGATTCATGTCTGGGTGCTTGAAGCTGTGTGGCTGCGTTTTGTTGTGTCAGTTTGTGCGTACGTGCAGCTGTTGGTGTTTGTTTGGTTGTCTGTGTGAGTTGTGCTGTGTGTGACGGTGTCGTCGTTAGCGTTACCCGCCAGTGTTGACCCCGAGAATGTGATCTATTACGGCGTAGGAGGGAAACAGTGACAGAGTGCGTTTGTGTGCATTCATGTGCACACTAGTGTGCCATGCCAGGGCAGAGCAGAGGATAGTGGGTATCCGAGCGCGGGGAAGTGTTACCCTCACGCTGGAGGGAAGGCACGACACAGATGACATAATGCAGATCTATGTGTGTGCAGTGTCCTCGCTGGACCCGTAGAGCGGAACCATTTGGGTGAGGTTGAAAAAAACGGAAGATGGCGATTGTGCTGAAGATCGTGCGCAAGCGGCCCGTACAAGGCCGCGACCAAGCGCCCTCCTGCCGACGTGGTGTTCCCCGCTGGCGGCCCGCGTACAGTCGGACCGAGGTACAAGGTCGAGGTCGGTTCGAGGAGGGTACCTTGGTGCTCTCCGTGCTTGTTGTATGCGTTGGTGCATCCCAGGGAGGGCACCCTTGGCTATTTTATTGGTTTTGGCCGACGGAGGGTCTCATGTTCTTGAGGGATGTTCTTCTGGCCCAGGTCCGACTGCAAGCCACCGCGTAAGGCCGCTGCGTCCTCTCGCGTGAGGCCCCCCTTCTTTGCGTCGCTCGGGTGGTCGGGATCCCCCAGGGGCCGCAGCTTCCCCAGCAGCAGAAGCAGGATAATCCAACGAGGACAGCATATTGACCGAGCTGTCGTACATGCCCTTGGTATCGCTCGGACTTGCGCATTTTGTCTTTGCCACGACCATCGAGGAGCCTCTTCGATCATCGAGTAAAAATATCTACGAGACCGACAACTGCACGGGGAATGGACGCGCGAGCGACGGCAAGTGCATACCTTTCGCTCGAGTCTATAAGGGTGGCGGAAGAGAAGGTCTCCCAGAGGCACCCTGGAGGTCTCCTCCAGTGGGGAGGCATCCGGGAAACCCTCCCCCCACCTCACAGATGCCTCCTTCTAGACATCAAGGAAGTGGAGGGGAGATGTCCCAGACGCCTCCTTCCCATGCAGAGGCCTCCCCAGGGGAGAGGATAGCACGCGGCCTTACCAGACCTGTTTCAGGGAAGAGGCCGGCACGCTGCCCTGCACGTCCAGCCCGGGTAGGGAGGAAACACGTTGTTCTGCCAAGTCCAGTTCCAGGGAAGAGGGTGGCACAGTGCTGCATGGCAGGCCAGTGCCGCTGGTAGGGATGGGGCCTGAGTGGGGCCACAGGGCTTTTTTCTCTGACGCCATCGGGACCCCCTGGGAAGCTGAGCTGCCCTGATACGCTCGTTGTGAAACGCAGCACGTACCGCGTGCAAGACATCCGTGTTGACATGTGGTATGTTGGCTCGGCACGTGCTGGCCCGCAGTCCGGCGAGCCTATCGTGCCAGACCTGCGTGATCAATCTACGTGTTGCGCTACGTGTCGACACGCTACGGTCAAGTCGGGCCTGTCCCCCTACAGGAGGAGTGTTCGAAAATAGACAAAAAAAATAGTATGGGGACGACTTTGTGACTATTTTTGGGCATGTTTGGAGCATGTTTGGGGTACTTGTTTAATTTTCGTCCAAAATGCGCCTGTGGGCGGACAGGCCCGACTTAACGCTACGGGTTACGTGTTGCGTATCGGGGCCGCTAAGCCGGGAAGCGCTCGGAGAACATAGTTCGCGGCTGGTTTTACGACAAGCCTGCTCGTCACAGAGCGAGTCGGCCGAGGACGCGGGCCACTGGCACAGCAAGCGCCGGGGTTGGCCATCGACGCACGCAGCTGCCAGCGGCAGCTGAGTGCGTCGATGGCCACCACGGCAACGTGCCGCTCTGCGACACATGCGGCCAGCGTGGTGCGAACAAAGCGGCAGTTGAGCGCGTCGATGGCCACCACGGCAGCGTGCCGCTCTGTGACGCACGCGGCCAGTGTGGTGCGAACGATGCTCGGTGGCGAGTCCGGGGGGGGGGGGGGCAGAGCGAGAGGGCAGGCCGAAGGCGGCGGGGCCTCCAAGAAGCCTCTGCGCCTTCTGAGAAGTTCTCTGAGCCCTCGCCGGAGACGCAGACAGCTTCTCAGAGGGCCCCAGGGCTGCTGCGAAGCCCTGCCGCCTGCTGCAAAGGCCTGCCCCCTCTCACCTCCCCCCCCCGAGCTCGCCGCCAAGAAGCGGCTCTGTCTGCGCCACCACCGCCGCCGCCGCCACCAGATGGTGCTCAGGACTCCGAGGCCCCCAGGCTCTGGGGCTGCCCCGTCAGACGGGGCGTGGACGCCAGGTCCGCGCATAAGGGTGGGACGAGGGCCGACGAGGCCCCGGGCGGCCAGAACAGGCCAGAACTGGGGAGGGGGGCTGCGGGGCAGAGCTGAGCGGCCAGCCCGGACCTCCAACGCATTGCGAGCACAGTGCGGGGGCTCTTCGCCGCTGTTCAGCCTCCGGGGGCCCTCGGCGGGCCCCAGGACCGTCGCAGAACGACTCGGGAGGAAGAGCTGGCCCTGGGAAGAGAGAGGTCGGGGCTTCCTGGGATCCCGTTTCGGAGAACGTCAGGGCGCCAGGCCTCCAGGTGCCAGCCGTGGCCATTCGTGCGTGTTTTGGCCCAAGCTCGGGCTGGACAGCCCTGACGGCGCCATGGACGGGTTTGGAGTCGAGGGCTCGGCCGCTCGCCCCGTGCTGGATGGGCCAGTCCTGGGCGGAGCTGCTGCTGAGAACGGCACCGCGGCCGCGTACGCCTCCGTGCACCTCCTGTGCGCGGTGGTCGGGGGTAGCGTTTGGGGGGGGGAGCGGCTCCGGGGAACGCGTCGACCCCGGATCGCAAACTCATGGCCGACAGGTGCCCGATAGCCTATCCGGCAGAGGGACGCTATCGGGGCCCATCGTCGATCTATCTGCGATCCATCGCCGCCTCCAGCTTGATGTTCCCCCCTCTCCTTGTTGGTTCCCCCCGACGGTCAAGACGCTGGATCAAGGACCTCTTCGGGCTCTGGAGGGGCTCTGGCTTTGAGAAACCGATTCATGACCAAGGCTCGCCGTGGCCATGCCCGTCGTGCTTCAGCGGCTTTCCTGATGGTAGCACGATAGCTTTCCCAGACCCCCGACGCCGTGGATTTGTTTCACAACGTGGACCCCTGGCTGTCTCGAACCATCCCCTGGGACCAGCTTCCGATCCCGAGTTGTTTCTCTGACGGTCTCGGGGTCCAGCGAGGGGCCCTGGAGGCTGAAAACAGCAAAAAGTCAGACCGTCACCGTGTCGCAACAATCCTCTGGTGTTGGGTCTTCGCTTTGAAGAGACAGCGCCCCCTCCCATCCCTGCCTCTGGTACTGGTACTGGTGGAGGGGGATGCAGTCCGAAAAGGCCGCCCTTCGTCTCCCCAGCCGCACCCAGACCCCGGCCCCCGATCCCACAGGGGCGAAGTGCGCCGCGACGAGGCGGGGGCGGGGACCCCGCGCCGGGAGAGGCACGAGGGGGGAGCCCAATCCTCCGCCCCACCGTGGCGGACCCCACGCCGAAACCCCCCAGAGCAGAAGGGAGGGAGAGGAGACCAGGAGTAACGAGGCGGAGGGGCCCCCTTGGCATCTAGAGAGCTCTACTCTGGGCATTTCGGAATCACACACTGTTACAATGAAGGCGCTTCATCGGAATATCGGACCTTGCTACGCCCGTCTTGGGAGAACATACATGAAGTGGAGAGATCTGCCCAGGAAACCGGTCTCCTGAGGCACGTCATGTGTGAAGCCTGGGCGGGGGCAGTGGGACTCCACCCCCAAAGGCAACGATGGTGAGCATGAAGTGCCAAGCATGGCCCTAGGGTTGGCCAGCGTCGGGTAGGATCCCCGTGCGCCGCCCCGTCCCAGCGTCGCGTTCCCCCCCCCGCCCCGGATCATTGGATACCGATTTGTTTCGGTCGCGATCGGCAGCGGCC